GCACGAATAGAATCGTTGCTCTGTTTTCTTTCTACTGTTGGTTTTTCAGTAACACGGGCCCCCCGTTCCTTAGATTACAATGGCAAGGTTACAGCAGCCGTGTCCTGCTGCGGCTGAACCGAGGCCAAGGCAGGGCTCAGGAAGAAACGATTTAACGCCGATAGCCGCGCGGTGCGGGGGGCTGTCCCTGAGCGTCCCTGACGCCCGTGAGCGGCCGAGCTACACGCGTGCTTTTTTCCTGCACTCACCGGGCAGGTGGAAGCTTCTGCCCTGCCAGGTGCTTTAAGGAAAACGTAAAAATAATTATTCATCTTTTTAAAGTCCAACTTGAGACAGAAGCCACTGCCACTGTTGACATTTCCGGGGACTCTCTGAACACACCCTTAGGGGGTATTGGGGCCACCGTGCAAACACCTGGGGCGGCCAATGCCAGCGTCACCGCCTCCTGGCGGCGAGCCCCGGAGCAAGGCGCTGCTTTCTGCTGACTCCCGGTTTCCTGGCCCACACACGGGGTCAGAATACTTCCTGCCTCCTGAGAAAGAAGTGACGTCATGCCTGTGAAGGCCTTCACTCTCCACAGTCCACTCTCCACGGTGACAGCTGTCAGTCAGTAGGGGGACTGAAGGCAGGAGGTTGGGGCCAGGCCCTGGAGAGCCCAGAGCGTTAGGATCGGGGGCGGGGGCGAGGGGGGCGGTCACCCAGCCGGCCAGCTCCGGCTCTGGAGAGGCGGCTACACCCCCGTGGCTTTGGCCCTCAGACGCAGGCTGCCCAGACATGTCTCTGGGGTGCTCCGTTTCAGCAGGAGATCGTGAGGGTCCCCCCGGGGTGCTGCCGCATGTTAGATGTTTGAACGAGGCAGCTACGTGGCCGCAGGGAGTGAGGAAGGGAGCGGGTCCCCCGCAGAATCACGGTCCTGGACAGCCAGAGAGACAGGGAGGCCGAGAACGGAGACGGGTTACATTGGAGATAGAGAAGACAGACGATGCTTAGGAGATGAGAGTTCAGGCAGGGATTCGAGGGAAGGGAGTGCCCGTGGAATTTTGGGAGGTGGCCACTTCTTGTCCTGAAATAACCCCTCCGGAGCGACTCACCAGGGGTAAGTACAGTAGAGAGGACTCCGGCCTCAATTAAATCTAAACTCTGGGACCAAATGAGCACCCTGGGCGCTTCTTACCAATGCTCCTCTCTCTCTCTCTCTCTCTGTGTGGGTTGGAAAATCCCACTTCCAGCTCAGACTGCCCTCTATCGGACGCTTTGCCTGCAAATCCTGACCCTGCTAAGCTCCACAGGAGGGGGATGAGGGCGGGGCACCATGCCTCCGGAGCCTCCCGAGCCTCTCCTGTACAGTTACCATCTTCTGTTCAAGCCCTGCGCTTCACTCCTGTTCTCAGCCGTCCCTCTGCGTGACAAGGGCCACTGGGTCAATGGAGAATCAGATGTTCCTCCCGAAGGGGCTGCCCGGACACCCCAGGTCACACTCGCTTTCCTGTGGGATTGAAGACACAATCGGAAGGACTGAGGTTCAAACTGGACACAAATATACCATATTCTGCTGTGTATACTGTGCCCCTGTATATAAGACGCACCCACGTTTTTGGTCTAAACTTTCAGGAAAAATAAAATCTTTCATTTTAAGGGTTTGATGCAATTTTTTATTTATTTACATTTAAAAACAAAACCGGTCATCGCATTCCAGGGTGTTATTTTGCAGACAGATATTGCTATTGCTTTCTAGAGTCACACTTTTAATGCATGAGCGTAAATAAAATATTTATATAGATACGGAATTAGCACCGCCCATGTATAATGCGCATCCTTATTTTTCCCTCACACATTTGGGCAAAAAAGTGTACATTATACATGGCAAAATACGGTCATTGTTCAAAGCCTTCAGTCTGCATTCTGCACAGGGCCCCCTACCAGTCAAGGTCAAAGACCTTGGGGCCATTAGAAGTTGATGAAGACACTGCAGCGTCCCCAGAAACAGTCAGGAGTCTGTGGTCGAGGTTCTGTCTTGAACTCACGTTGGGACCCGATCGAGTTTTTCCAACCCTTTCAGCCTCTCGGGCAGCAGGGGGAGCGGTGGGTTCAACAGCACACCGTCCAACTTTAAAATGCACGGATGACTGGTGCTGTGTCTGAGGAGGATGGTTTTGGCAACACCTCCACGGTTGTGGGTGTGCACACCCCCTGACTGCTTGGATCCTGTCCCGGAGAAATGCACATGCCAGTGCACGGGCGGGGCGTTCACTGCAGCACTGTGAGTAATCGTGACCTAGACATCTGCCGTCACGAGACTGCCTGCGTGAACTATGGCATGTTTGACCTTGGGAAGCAGTGCCATCTGGGAAAAAAACTGAGTAAGGAGCAGAGGGGAAGTATCACCCTATGTTGTTGAGTGACACAGGCAAGATTTGGTTAAAAAAAAATTCGGGGTGGTAGGAGCCCACTGCCATGTTCATGTGTTTAATAAAAGACCTGGGAAGAAGGGGCAAGGGGAGGTTTCTTTTCCCCTACAAAATGCTTCACTTTTAGGAGAAAGGGGATTTGGAAATACTTTAATCTGGAGAGTGCTCCATGAGGTAAGTCTGCATGGATCTCAGCCTAGCAGTCTGAGCTCCTGGACAAGCGAAAGGACTTGATGAGGAGGCTGGCCCAGTCCTCCTGAAGTCGGGGGTGCCCGGTGCTGTGTGTGTCAGCCACGCCTGACACCCCGATGGGGCGGGCTGTTGGGTGGGGGTGGGGAAACAGAGCCCCCACATATGGTTGAACCCCTCGAGTTCCTACAGAAGACTCATGTTCCCATCTTTTGGGATCTCCTACCCACGAGGACACATCAACACTGTGTCGTCACTATGGACACGCACTGTGCTACTCAGAATGCAGTCTGTTGAATCTTGCACTGAAAAATGGGGCTTGTATTTTGTGTCTTTGGGATTTTTCAATTTCTTTCTTTTTTTCTGTTAATGCATCTTGATTCCATGTTACAAAAGTGTATGTCTGCAACAATTTGAAAAATGTGAAGACTGGTCCTTCAGCACGACCTCTGAGAAGCGCTGGGCGGCTGGGGAGCAGGGGGTGATTAAAACTAGGGCAGCCCTCCGCATCTGGCGTGGGAATCAGGGCGTCACCGAGCGAATGGCTGTGTGAGTGAGCAAGGGTGCGACAACAGAGGAAGGGAAAGGACCGGAATCCAGGCTTCTCACGCGGGGCCCAGCAAAGTGGGGAGAGCTTAGGGCTTCAAGTTCATGGCCCGACTCCATAGGAGCACCAAAGGGGAAGCTGGGAGACCTTCCCCCGGCCGCCCCCCGAGGCATAGGACTGGCCTGACCCACACGGAAGCAGCACGGGGAGGGCCACACACAGATGAAGAGCAACATTCCCTGCTCATCGCTGCAGAAATCAGACATGGCCCGAAGACAAACATTCTCCTTTCCATCCTGAACCATAACAGTAAACACAGGCTCCATGCAAAGAGGCCCTATTTTAAGGACCGCTGTTTACGTGGAGGGTTTTGGACACACTTGCGTCAGGGTGATGACACTGAGGCGGGGGCAGGGTCCCCAGGGTGCCCTGGGGCACAGGGTCAGGTCTGCCCGGAAGCCCTCCCCATGTGGGGAAAACAGCTTCAGCCTGAGGTCCTCGCCTCTGAACACCGGCAAAGAGACCCCCATCCAGAGGGCCGCCGGGCACACCTGGCTCCGTTTTGAAATTTCCCTCTCCAGAAACAAATAGATCTTTCTATTGAGAGAGCATGGAGACTAGAAAAATGGCATCATTTAAAAAATTGTTGTTATTGTTTAAGTTTCCCTGCAGAGCTGTGCCGTGACAGGCGGAGTCGGAATAGACAGACCTGCGCCCTAATCCCTTCCTCTCTGCGTGAGCCTCTAAGCCAAACCACTAATCCCCCTCTTCACTGCAGTCTCCACACCTGCACACGGGGTAATCTCAGTACCTGAGGGAATACTTGGAACACCCAGCCGAGGCCTGGCACAGGGTGAGCCTTCAGCCGGCAGTAGCCCAGGTCTCTCTCGAGGAGTCCTGAGCAAGAGCAGGTACCACATACTCACCGTGCGCCGTGGGCCAGAAACTGTACTCAGTGACATACTTGTGATCTGCTGCATTGCTTAACACAGCCCTCTGAGCGAGGTACCCAGGGTCCCCTTCTGGAGACAAGGCTCTGAGAAGGTGGGGGGGGGTCCCCTGTCCCAGCTCGGCCAGCTCAGAGACAGCCAGCCAGCCAGCCAGCGGGGACCTAGGAACCGGGAACCAAAGCAGGCTCCCTGGCTGCGCTCCGGTCACACGGCTGCCCCACTGCGGGCTCCCGGGAGCCGCCTTCTCCTGCTTCTCCCCAGAGCACGCGGCCGCGGGCATTGACTTTGGCCGGCTCCGCTGCTGTTCTCGAGCCTCTTTCATCATTGGGATAACTTTACATACACTTGGCACTCCTTTACATTTTTTAAAAAAATATGTTCGGTTCTTGAGTGTCTCCCGAGGGAGAAAAAGGTTTCTGTAAACGATTTCATTTTCTTCTCCTTAATGGTGAACTTAATAAGGCTCAGTTACTGGGTCTGCGCTCACCAGCGGGGCTGTTTGCTGGTTTATTTTCATTTTGGAGACTCCTGTCCGTCGAGAACAGCGCTCTCTCTCTCTTCCTGAAAAATATCCCAGGAGGAATTTTGATCAGATGCCGGGGCTGTGGGGCAGGCTCTCCGCTGGGGATCACGTTTCTAGAAGGCTCCTAGAAGGCAACAGGTCTTGCAACCTGACGCTGAGCTGACTTTTTACCTGTAGGCCTGGCTGTCTCAGGACAGGGGAAAGGACACAGGCTGCTTTCTTCTTCCAAACAAAACGATGTGTTTCTTAAAGGAAGAAACGCTTTTCTTTTTTCTGTTTTTAATTTTATTTATTTATTTTTAGAGAGAGGGGGAGGGAAGGAGAAGAGAGGGACAGAAACATCCATGTGTGATTTCCTCTCACATGGCTCCCACTGGGGACCTGGCCCGCATCCCAGGCATGTGCCCTGACTGGGAACCGAACCGGTGACCCCTTAATTCGCAGCCCGCGCTCAATCCACCAAGCTACACCAGCCAGGGCGGAAGAAACGCTTTTGCACCAGGAACTGAAATTCGCTCGACCCCGTGAAAGGCAGCAGGGACCGGTGAGGGCTCCGGAACCCCGTGGCTTTGCGCACCGGCTCTGCCACTTCACCTGTGGGACCCTGGGCGAGTCACCTCTCTGTGGCTGGTGTCCTCCTCATCGCTGACATGAGGGGGATAACTGTCCCTCCGTTTTCGTGACGATGAAATGGTGTTGGCTAGGACTTTTCTGGGGCTTTCCGGGGCTCTCAGGATGAAAAGTGGGACAGCCCCAGGCGAGCCGGGTGAGTCGGCCAACCTCAGACGAGAGGAGAGCAGGCGGGCACCCTCCTTAGCGGCAGCCCCGCACAGGTCAGGGCTTGGGGACGCTTGTCTGTCCTCGTGTGTGACCGCCTCCGGCGGCCACCGTTGCCCTCGTGATTGGTTGCCATGGTCTCTTGTTCCCTCATTATTCATACTGCAGGGGCCTTCAATGTGCCTTTTATTCCTCCTAAGCCACTGACAACACACCCCCAAAGTCCCCAACAAACGTCTCTGTCCATTCACGGGACAAGTATTGGAGGAATTTATCACATGCCAGGCAAGCAGCTTTTAAACGAACCCCATGGCCTTCTCCCTTTCTCCGTGTTCGAGGCGGCATCTCATCTAAAAGTTAAAACGGGGAAAAGTCCTTGTGAGGACAAATCAGACACCGGAGGGGTGCCCCCTGCAAGCCCCGGGAACGCTGACCACGCCAACAGCCCCCCCGGGAGCCAGGGGAGAGGCCTTGCCTCTGCTTCTCCCTCGGCTTCCAGACGGAACCAACCCTGCCCACACCTGGATGTTGGACTCTGGCTCCAGAACCGTGAGAAAGCAAATCCCTGTTGTTTTAAGCCTCCCCATCGGTGGCAGCCCCAGAAAACGAAGACAGTTTTCTGCACAACCCAAATCCAGACCTGCCCCACCTTGTGTCCCGACAAATTCGGAGACCTCTTCCCAGGTGTTCCTGCAAGATTTCTTTCCCCGAGGCTATCTGTCGCAGACGGCCGGTCTCCGACTCCCAGGCCAGAGACCGACCACGACGTGCCCACACCAGCCTTTCCCAGACTTAACCCGAGGGTAGGAGTCCCCCGGAGAACAGTTAAGGTTACAGGTTCCCTGGGCCCCGTTCCAGACCCCCAGACGTGGGGCCACAGGAGGGGCCCTGGAAGATGGATTTTTAACAAGCACCCAGGACGATTCTTATCCTCGGGCACATGTGGGACACCCTGGCCTGCAAGACGGAATCCAGAGGAGCCCAAGCCCCTGGTTCAGTGATCTCCATAAAATGGTGTCGACCTCCCTATTTAAATGTCACCCTCCCCCCGAGGGTGTCCGGGGGGCCTGGAGTTCATCCCAGCATGCGCCCTGCCTCGCTGCTCCGTCAGCCGCCCCCCCCGCCGCCCCCCTGCCCCGCCATCCTCTGCGTGGGGATGAGTGAGTGCTTTGGGAACTACTTCATCCTCGCCATTCTCCTCCCTCCGCCCCCTTTTCCTTTCCTCCTTCCTCTAGGTCTGGACTCAGAGGCCGTTGATAATTATTCGGAGGTGGCTCCTCCGTGAGCTGGGAGTGAAACCCAAACCCCCTCCCCGCAGCGGGTCTGCAGACCTGCAGGACCGGCCTCACCTGCCTTGCCCTCGGGCTCCTCCATCTGCGCGCTCCAGACTCCAGACACGGCCTTCCTTCTCATGCTTCAGACGCTCTGGTCTTGCCCCTGGCTGGCCCCTCCACCTCGTGAGACTTCCACGTCGCCTCTCAGAGCTTTCCCCGTCCTCGGGAGAAAACAGGCACATGTACCCACACTCACTCCCCTTGTTCTCGGTCGCCGTACTGACTGATCAGTTGCCGTCATTTAAAAATGAGGAAGTTTCACGCGCAAGTATCCAGCCTCTCCTACAGAATCAGCACCTGCCACGGGGGAGCCCGCAGAGCCCCGCCAGCTGGAGGGAGCCCTGTGCTCGGCCTGGGGCTCTCTGCTCCGCCACCCGCTCCCAGCCCCTCCGCTCCTTTCAGTCACCTGCCCGGGCCACAAAGCCGTCTTGCTGGTGACGCTTGCTTAATCTCGGTCTCTCTTAGGCAAAGAGGTGGCCTTGCCCCCTTAGCAGCCCCAGCACCCAGCCCGTGCCTGGTGCGTAGCCCCAGGACCTCACGAAAGGTGCACCGAGCGAATGAGTACAGGAACGGACGGATGTCCTGCCTCCTCCCCAAGTCTCACAAGCCATACCGCTCACCCTGCCATCTAATCACTGCCTTCCCTGCAAGGCTCATTAACGTGCTGTCCCCAGTGACTACCTCCTCGCTGGAGCTTGGGAAAACACAAACCTGACCCCCTCGTTGCCCAGGTTTTAAGATATTTTTTCCCCCAGCACCAACTGGGGAAAACACAATCTCGTCCCCAAGGCCTCTGAGGCCCTTGTCCTCTGGCTCCCACCCACTGCGCCGGCTCCCCGTCTCCAGAGAGGCCCCCCGCCAGCACACACCCACGCCCCACTCACTGACCCGGGGAAGCACCCTGTTCTTTCCCTGCCCCCACACGCCCGCTGGGAAGCTCCCTCTCCCTGGAATGCCTCCTCTGGTCTCACCGCACATCCCCACGCCTCTAGCAACTCCTCCTCATTCCTTTGCCCTTGCTCGAACGGGTCACTTCACCCGTGAAACACTCCAGACCTCCCTGGGCTGACTCAGTCATTCTCTCTCTTTTCGGCTCCCCCTCACCCCCTCCCACCCCCCCGCCCCGTTTCATCCCCTGCCTTCGTACTGAGTAACGCCTCAAAATAACAGCTGGTGTCTTCCAAGCCTTTGCTGTGTGCCAGGCACTGAGGGAGCTTTATCACCTTTAATCCTCACACCCCGGCAGCACCCTGCCTGGAAGGCTCCCCCACCACCTGGAAGGGGGGTGGGACAGGGGCGACCAGAAAAAAACAGAGGATCACTGCTTACCTCTAGCTTTCCCAGCCACCCCTTTTAAATTTTTCTCTCTCCTTCCATACCTTGCCTGCTCCCCCCACCCTCCCCCTTCCCTGCTTTATTCTCCAAGGCTCTTAGCAAAAACACACTATAGATTTTAATTATAAAATTCGTGGATTCTGGCTCTCTCACCTGGAACGCCCACTCCAGGAGGACGGGGGCTCTGTCCTGTCTTCTGTACTACAGTGACCATCTAGAACAGTGCCCGCGTGGAAAGTGGTCTTCGAGAGATTAAGACAGGTGCCTGGAGTTCCACAGCTGGTAGGTGGAAGAGCCGGGTGTGATCTCTGGGTGGTCAACTCCAGCACCCTCCTACCCCCCTGCACCCTCTGACAGCTATGCCCCCCACTTCCAGAAGACACCTCTCTGTGGATCTGACTTCTCAGCTAGAGTTCCTTGGAGGTAAGGAGTCTATCGTATTCATGGTTGTGGGGGTTTTATTTTGCCTGATCCTGGCAAGAGCTCGAGGAATGTTGTTGCTGATGTCAGGAATGTCTTCTCTCCCTCTCCCTCTCTCTCTCTCTCTTTTTATTACCCTTTATCTCCACGTCAGACACAGTGTCGTATCCCCCGTTGGGGTTTATGTAATACGTGTCACATTAACGAACTCTAGTACAGCAGCAGGTAATAAAAATAACCAGACAGCAATAAGGACAATAAAAGGTAACATTTATGGAGCCCTGACTCTGGGCTGAGTCCATCCTGAGTGCTTGGTGTCCTGAATTAAGACAGGTCGTCCTCTGAGCATCCTCACTTCACAGATGTGGAACCCAAGGGTCACGGGGTGGCCGAGAACTTGCCCGGGTCGCCCAGCCAGGACAGGGCAGAGGCAGCGTTCGAACGCAGGCGCCTGGCCCGCGCGGCGCCCTCAGCGTCCCTCAGCCTTTCTAAAAGATGCCCACGAAAAGGTTGCCCTGGGTGAAAACAAAGAGGAATGGTTCATTTCACCTTTCTGCTTTATTCCGAGGACTTCTATTTCCAAAGGCTTCCATAGGCGATATTATTTGTTAAATGACAACCACTCATGTTCACACCGCACTGAAGGTTTGCAGAGGGCTTCTCGTCCGACCCCAGCGACAGCGCGGTGAGGCGGGCGTCCTCATCTTCTCGGGGAGAGGAGGAGTCCGAGGCTCCGCGCGGTTAAGGAAGCAGGGTCCAGGTCACCCAGCCGGCCAGGAGCAGAGCAAGGGCTCCAATGAACACCTACCACTTAAAAAAAAAAACAAACAACAACTTACGATTGGAGAGCCTCTGAATACAAAGCTCTTTCATGCTGCTGCTTAAACGTAAATAAGATAATCCTCGGGAAAGATGTGCCCGGTTCCTGGCACCTGATAGGACCCTCACGGGGGGTAGTTTTCATCATCATCATCACCGACACTTCCTAGGAACTGGAATATTTTAGCTGACGGCTGCAACCGCGGCCTGTCTGTCGGCCCTGAAGGGAAGATCATCGTCCCTTCCTTTCCAGTTTTACCTCTGGTAAAGCTGAAACAATGATCCATCTTCACTATCCCCCGGGTATCGCAGGGTGCTCAGAGCTGGACGGGACTGGGGAGATGACCTCACTCAGGCGCCTGCATGTACGGATGGAGAAATCGAGTCCCAGAGAGGGGAAAGGTCAGCTCCTGGGGGGGGGGGGGCGGGGTTCATGCAGGGCGCCTGGCGCAAAGTGCCTCCCACAAAGGTGGGCGTTTACCTAGAAGGGCATCTCTCCTCCTAAAGGCCAGTTTCTGGAGCCTCGAGCCCCGCTCCCCGCCCCCACGCCAAGTTCTGGAGTATTATGAGCTATTAACCAGAAAACAGGCCATGTGACTTCATTCCGCCTCTGCTAAAGAGCTTAAAATGCTTTGGTGAGTAGTCTCAGATTCATAAATACACACTTCAACTCTTTCTCAGAGAATTATTAACCAGCTCCATCAAAACCGGAACGTGAGCAGTCAAGGAGAAAAAGAGCTGGCGAGAGAAACTTCTTGAAAAATACCTCACCACCATTAGGTATGACTTCTTGCTACCTCTTCCCTCCTCCGCCCCCCGCCAAGAGTTGGAGGAAGAAGGAAAGAAAAAGGTATCATTGTGCATGACAGGAATCAGTAAAAGTAATTGTGGAAAATTACAAACTCTTTCACCGGAGGAACACCACAGTGTGTTAAGGCGTAAAGAACTTAAAAGAAAGTCTTGAAGAGGATTAAGCAGAAATGTAACCCTCACTAGGTCCTTTCAGGCGGTGAGGATGGGCTGGGGAGGTCCGACAGCGTGGGGGTGTGATAATCAGGGGTAGCCAGTTCCCAATGAATGATTTGGTGAACCTGTAATTTATAGAGTTTGTGTCATGCACTCGCCTTAGCTTATCGCCCTACCTTACTGAGTGTTAATTCTCCCAGGCATGGGACTAGCTTTTCAATCTACACGTAGGTCTTGATCGGCTTTAGCTGGAGGATTTGGGGGTGGGGAGGGATGAGGGAGAGAAGTAAGATTAGGATTCAGTCTTCAAACCAAAGAAACAGGAATACAAACCCTTCCCTGGGCTTTTTTTTCTCTGGGCTTCCTGCTTCTCAAGAAAGGCTGAAATTCAGGCCCTGGGAACAGACCTGGGGCCCTAACAGCTCTTGGGATGAAAGGGCTCCCCGCCTCCACAGCGCCTTTATCAAATCCAGGCCATTTTCTGCATTCCTCCCTTACACAGCCCAGGCCCACTGTGAAGCAGGCCCGACAGCACAGCATGTTCTGCTTAGGAGATCCAGGAAGCTCTGGCCTGGCCCTCCCTTCGAGAAAGGAAAGTCCAAGTAAAGAGGGATGCCACACCCTGGGGGAGGGGAGAGAGGATGTGACGACACCTCCAGGAATGCAGGGCCCACGCAGGTGTGTTGGCACCCACAAACTTCCTTTTAAAAAGAGCCTGATAAATCAGGACTGATAACAGCAATAAAGCTCAACCACCCAACCATCGCCCACACAGAGATGAGGCCCTTGTTCCCAGGGCGTGGCCCTGGCGGCTGGGGAAAGGAGGGTGACACCTGAGAATGGAGATCCCTCAGGACTGTGTGACATGTTTTCCTAGTCAGCGGTTCTCAAAGTGGGGTCCCTGGGACCTTACCAGAGTCTCAAAAGTCAAAACTTTCCACCGTACTGTGATGTCACTTGCTCTTCTCACCCTCGTCTCACAGGTATGCAATGGAGTTTTCTAGAAGGGACATGACGTCACAGCATCACCCTGATGACTACTGTGCTTATATATTCTTGTGTTTAAAACATTTCTCAGTTTTGCCCTAGCCGGCTAGCTCAGTTGGTGAGAGTGTTATCCCTAAGCACCAAGGTTGCGTGTTCAATCCCTGGTCAGGGCACATATGAGAATCAAGTAATGAATGCATAAATAAGTGGGGCAACAAATCTCTCTCTCTAAAGTCAATAAATAAACAACTTAAAACATTTCTCAGTTTTAATTCTAATACAATGAATATTGAAAGCATAACACATACAAACAAAATACTTGGGGCCTCCATAATTTTTAGGAGTTATGAAGGGGTCTTGAGACCAAACCATCCCCCTGCCCCATCACAGGACCACACTCATTTCCGGCTCGGCTTGGGTCCCAAGGTAGGGACTTCTGAACAGGAGTGGTGAAGGCAGCTGTAGGTACCCTTTCCCCCTGTACTGCCACCCAAATTGGCTAGAAAACCTTTTTTCTTTTTTTTAAAGATTTTATTTATTTATTTTTAGAGATGGAAGGGAAGGGGGGGAGAGAGAGAGAGAGAGAAAGAGAGAAAGAAACATCAATGTGCGGTTGCTGGGGGTTATGGCCTGCAGCCCAGGCATGTACCCTGGCTGGGAATCGAACCTGCGACACTTTGGTTTGCAGCCCACACTCAATCCACTGAGCTACGCCAGCCAGGGCTGCTAGAAAATCTTTAAATTCCCCCACAGGCATTTGGTGACCTGAACCCCTCTGGCAAAAAAAAGGGGGGTTTCTCACTTTTGAACCCAGATGGGGTGAAGTTAGCACAGAGAAAACACACTCCTCCAGCACCAGCACCCAGCAAAGACATACCTGAGTACCTGCGGGGAGTCAGGTACCACATGCTACATGCTCAACAATGAACAAAGCTGATGTGGTCCCTGCCTTCCCACGGCTTTCATTCTGGGGCAGAGGTGGATTACTCACACACACACACACACAAACACACACACAAACACGGGAAAACTGCAACTGTGAGTCACAGGGCCTGGGAAGGAGGTGTGCAAGGTGTTAGGGGGGAATTTGAGATGAGGGGAGGAAGGCCCTGGGGATGCAGGTGGAAGGGAAGCACCCTAACCAGCTCTTCCTGGCCGGTGGTCTCAGGTTAGAACTGCCCGCAGGCCCAGCTCACTAGGGGACTCAATAGCTCCTTGCTGAGCACAGTCCCGCGGTGAGCCCTTTTGCAGGTGGGTGGGGGGACTTACGGGTCTCCTTCTCACCTCCCCAACACCACCAACGACCAATGCTAAACAGCGTCCCTGGGAGAGAGAACTAGGGCATTTGGAGAGAAGGCGTCAATCTTTTGTTATCAGGGACACAGCTCCATCACGGGTGATGAACACAATCTGGAGGCTGTCATGGGTGGAAACAACAAATGACCAAGAAGTGGATGGAGGATAGGAGAGAAGACTTCAGAAATTGAAAACAAATAAATAAGAAAGAAGGAAAAAAGGGAAGCCCTGGAGGGCCTGTCTAGGAGAAATCCTGAGGGAAGCCAGACTTGCAAGGAGCCATCTCGGGCCCTGGCCCACTTTCCCTCCCTTTAAGCAGCCACGCAATCCCTTGGGACCTCATGGATTGCAGAAAGAGTTGCTACGGACAAAACCAAGTCCGAAGAGCCCTTGTAACTGTAACAGAAGCGGGAAAACTTGAATTTTACAACCAGAGTTGCAGACTGACAACCTAAAGGATGCAAATGGGTGGTGGAGGGGCGTTGTTTCAGGCTGCAGCATCCCACAGTGTCAGCGGGAGGGGGCGGTGGATCCCATCCGCCCAACAGCGCCCGGGCAACACGCCCAGCCGCGCGTTCCATCTCCCAGCGGGGTGCCAGCTCCAGCCCGGACCAAGGCTACCAGGCGTGCGCCTGCGCGTGCGCAAAAGGCCCACCCACCCCAGCAAGTCGCCAGGTGCGCTCACGCTTCCGGCCTGCCATCTGGGGGCGGAAACTCCGGAGCTCGTGCATGCGCTTTCTAGCTCTCCAGCTAAGTCACAGAGGCCCGAGGCTTCAGGTGATCCCGCCCCTCCCTCGCTGAGCGAGGCCAATCGCGCCGCGGTGGGCGGGATTTTCGAGAAGGTAGCCCGCCCACGCTCAGCGCAAGGCCCGTACCGATTGGTTGGCGCCGCGGGCGCAGGTGCGCGCTTCCTATTGGGCGTGGGCGGAGTGCGAGTCGTCCAGGCTTCCAAGGAGGCTGCAGGTGAACGCGCGCACGCGACGCGGCTCCCGCCAGGGTCGGGCGCGCGCTCGCGCGAGCTCGCGGGAGGAGCGGCCGAGCGCGAGGCTGCAGCTCCTGTCGCCGGTGCTCCGCCCCCTCCTCCTCCTCCTTCGCGGGTGCCGCGGAGGCCCGGAGGGAGGGAGTCGCGTCCCCGCCCGCCGCGCGGCCAGTCGGACCCTCGGTCTTGCCGCGTAAGGAGCCAGCCGAGCAGAGCTCTGCGCGGAGACCCGAGCCGCAGCCGTCCCTCTGCAGGTGCCTGTGAGGAGGCTCCCGGGCCGCAGCCACGTCCAGAGCCCTCTGGCCGCGCACTCTCTCCCCGCGCTCCCGGGGGGCGGCCCGGCTGGAAGAGGCCGCCGCGGGGCCCGGCCTCAGCATGAACCGAAGCCACCGACACGGGGCGGGCAGCGGCTGCCTGGGCACCATGGAGGTGAAGAGCAAGGTGCGCGGGGCCCTGCCTGGGCGGAGCGGCCAAGCTGATGGGAACGCGGGGGCCTGGGGAAGGCCAGGAGCTGGCCGGGGACGGCCTGGGGAGCTGCCCCGGCGTCCGGGGCGGTGGGGGGCGCGGTAGTGGGGTTTGGAGGCCAGAGATGGTGGATAATAAACTTGCTGAGTGGGGGAAGAGGGTAAGGCCTGTGTCTGCTCCTGGCCCAGGTAGGTAGAAAACCATTGGGGCACTTTATCTCGTTCCTTAACATCTCATTCGTGTTCGAGGGTGGGGGTAAGGGCCGGGGTACACCCAAGCCGTTTGAACGCAGAGTGGTTTCAAAACGTTTGGGGGAATTCCACCTCCCGGCCTATGAGTAAAAGGTATTGGGAACGCCCGTGGTCACAAACTGTTACCCCTTCAGTGGTTCAGAGTTACAGCGGGAGGTGAGAGAGCCCAGAGAGCTCAAGGGCCCTTTGAAAGTTAGCCCTTGCTTCTTGCTAGGAATTTTTCTGGCCCTAACTTTGGTATGCATTGAATCTGTAAAATTAACACTATCACCTTTCGTTTGAGTAGCACTTTACAGTTCGAGTCTGGATGCTCTCTTCATTCCAGCATGCTCCGTTTCTCACGAAGTGTTTTCATTCTTGACCCGCGGTATGCCAATCTGCTGATAATTGCTTAGGTATCCACTGAATTCCTAAACTGCCAGGCTCCCTGAGCAGGGTAGTCTATAGGGATTAGTTAGGGAATTCGTTCCAAAGGAGGGTTTGAGCTGGAATGGGAAGGTGACCCACAGCCACGGGAACATTTGGAGCAACTATTCCATGCACTGAAGAGCTGAAAGGAGCTTAGGTTGTCTGGTGTAATTCTTGGGGAAGACGGGGGCTTAGAAAGGTGATGACTTCTCCAGGCTCTGCTTTTATGACAAAATCTGAGAGCCTTTTGGCGGAGTAACTTCTAGACTTTATAGGGTACAAAAGAGAGGACACTGGCTGGGCCCCGAGGACGTGTCACGTAGGGCCCGGGAGATCAGCACACACAGAAGAGGAGGAGAAAGTAAAAGCATGTCAACTTTAGAAATAATGAAACATAGTTGAATCTAAGGCTGCTTAGAAGGCAAGGGAAGTAGGGTAAGGAAAGCTTCTTGGAGCCTGTGGGGAGAATGGCTTTTATTATCTAGAGTTGATAAACAACATTCTGTAAGTTACTGTAATGAGATCGTCACATCAAGCATATCTACATTCATTTTTAAAAATCATTTTACAGTGTTGTCTGCCACCTAACTCATGTATCAGGGCAGACACTAGTTTCAGAAAGCCTTCTGTTTAGGAAGACTAGGAGTGCCATCAAAGCAATGTAAGGTGTACACGCTTCCCTGTGTCCCCCCTGGAACTGCTGTAGCGAATCAAAGAAGGGACCTGCTTAGAATAAAGGTTACGGTGATTCAAAATATAAAGAGCTTTCCTTCCAGCAGTGTAGTGGTGGTCGTGGTTGGTGCCCAAAGGTTGAATCTTCTAGGGGCACTTCTGTTACAAATCTAGTTTGCTTTTGTGGGAGTTGAGGTAAAGAAAAGAAAAACACGGTAGGGCATGATCTTAAAGTTCAGTGTGTTGTTCTAATCTTGGTAACAAGTCTTTAATTTTTTTTAATCATAGGGAGAAAATGAATAGGAACCCTAGGTACACTGATAAATACAACCAAACAGTAATTAATCTCTCCGACTAGGAACCCTTAAGCACTTGGGGACTGGAATTTCAGGCTTTCTTCCCTTCTGTCAACTGAGTGGTGAATCTGTCCCATACTTCTGTCTAACCTATATTATATATTTGACCCGCCGTACTGGACTTTCAGTGAACCCTGTCTCTTAAATAGAATCAAGGCATTCTGAGAACCTGCAGGGACTGAAGCGTCATTCCGCTGTTACTCTAGCTGTTGATAAATAGGTACAGTGTAGGCACTATTTCTTGTGCGTCTGTGTTTCAAGTAGATATGGTTGATGCATTTTTTTAATGGAGTAAATAAAACACTTGTCACCTTTACCATTTAAAAATATTGGGATAGATGTCTGAAACAATGTTTCCTTTTTCACAGCTTTCGCGGCATGGCAGCTTTTTACAGAAGTCATCAGGAAGAGGTTAGGTTGTAACCACAACTAGGTGGTACGCAAATCCACACTTCAGAAGAAAAATCCCTTTTTCTTCTGCAGAGAAAACAGTGTCAACTTTATCATCTTTGCTCACAGAAGGGAAGAATGGTACAAATAGGAGTACTGGATAATGCAAATATAAATCTAGTTAAATTGTGATACCAGCTGCCATGTGACTTCTTTGGTAACCGATTTATCTTCGTGTTTCGCCAGAGTTGGGAAAGTCCTTAATCAATGATCAAGGTGGTGTCCTTTAATAACCTTGGAACAGCCTCTGAGCCGTACATTTCCTAGTTATTATTCAGGGACAAACAGCATGTTAAAATTAAGTTCGCATTTCTAGAATGTACCACAGGCGGTAGGAGAAGGCTGTTGATTCGCATTCTGGGTGATCAGGACAGACCAGCCCAGGCTCAGCAAGCTGGAAATGGTTTGTGTAGAGAAGCGTTGTCGCTTGGTCTCAGTTTCATCTCTCTCTGAGTGTTTTTTCCTTATGTAGTAACAAGTTCCCTTAGTCCTATTGTTTTGATGCAAGAAGCATAACAATTTCTCTTTTCTCCCTGCTAACATTTGCAAAAGGGCACATCTACTGTGAAGCCATACAGTTTTCCATTGTTTTTATCATAACGTTTAAGCAAGAGGGGAAAAAAAATGTGAGGCGCAGAATTTTCATCCAAACACTTGAGGAAAAACATCGCAGCCTTAGAATGTTCAGTTATGAGCTGTCACTCCCATTTCTGTGTCGGGGGGAGTGATAAACCCTGGGCTGCATTCAGAAAGCGCTAGGAGCCCTATGTTGTGATATCAGAATTTTAAAAAAATGAAGGAGAAACTCTGACTTTTGATAGCATCATAAGACTAACTCTGATACGCAGGGTGTTCCGAGTTTTTATTTACTTTGAAATGAGAAGGTGTGACTAAACTTTTCGAGAGGCCTGGCTATGAGTCACCTTCTTTTCTTGACAAGTGTTCGTGTTTATGATTCAGGAATGTGTTTTGGAAACTTTTAATTGTTTATTAGAGGTAAGAGGTGGTTTTAGTGAGTTTTAATGTAAAACTAAGTAAGTAGCCTAGGTATAAGCTCCTGCTTCATAGAGTGAAAGCGGTAACTCCAGATACCCATGGGGTCCTCGGGAAAATTAATGGACACACTTATAACCTCAGATTATTCTGTGCAGGACTTTTTCTGCGTGATGCTTATGGCTGTATCAGTGGTACATGAATACTTCTTACTCGTAATAGCTACTTAAAGAAGAAACGTGTCAAGCACATCTGCCAAATATTTGTTTAAATTTTTTTTTTAATCAGCTTCAGGACTTAACTGAGCTTTTAGTATCTGGTCTCTGCAGTGATTCCCAAGAGGGCGATTACAGTTATATGGCTGGTACTCTTTTTGAGGAAGGCCGATCAGCCTTTTGTGGGTTCCCACATTCGGGGAAGTGCCATGCCAGTCCCCCATAAGTCCTATAGACGCTGTTTCCGTGGGCTACAAGTCCGTCAGTCCTCAGTGCTGAGTGAGGGCCACTTGGCCGACCCGGCACCTGGAGCACAGGTGCGGTTCTAGAGCAGGGAAGCGGACCTGAGACTCTGAAGTGTGAAGGTAACCGTCGGGCCTGGTGGAGACCTCGTGCGCTCCCCCTTGGTGTGATGCGGTAACACCTCTCTGATGTGATTTCTTCTCTCTGTCCACTAATTGGTGAGCTCGCGCTCATTAGGTCTCCAGGGTCTACGCTGTGCTAAGCACACAAACACTTCTCATGTTAATTGGATAGTTGTAGGACATGTGTTTGATGGATTAATAAAGCCGTTTACGGCATTGACAACAGGGAAGGTGCTTACCTCTGGACCTGTTTCTTATGCCGTGCACCTCCATCTGTGTCATGCTTGAAATGCCAAGAAGCTCATAGCCCTTTGTGTAGGTTACATGTTTTGCTGTGAATTCTTGCCACTTCCTGTGAAATGGCAGTTTCTTTCTTGGGGGGAGGAAACTGAGATGCTTCTTGTGAACGGTCGAAAGAAAGACTGGGGCACATCTTTCCCCCCATGGCCTGGGTGAGGAGAGGCCCGCTGTCAGGATCTGGGGTGCAGGCGGGGTTTGAGGTGAGGCCGTGTTCAGGACAGTCCCCAGTAAGGCCTGGGGACCCTGGGGGTGGGGTCGAACCTGCATCTCTTTCTTGAAGGCAGTGCCTTCCAGGGACACGGCACCCAGGAAGGCGCATTCCCGTGCCTTGTGCTGTTTTGTCTCCACATAACGAGGTTTCCGACACTAGTTAGTGTCGCTGGAACGATCTCCATTATTCAGGGAGTGAACATGCCCGCTCGTTTTTCTATGGCATGCGTTTTAAAATTGAGCCCTGTTCCTTTTTAAAATTAATACGAGTTTATCATATTTATAGTTCGGAGCTGAGTTTCGGCGTTTTTCACTGGAAAGATCAAAGCCGGGGAAGTTCGAGGAGTTCTACGGATTACTGCAGCACGTTCACAAGATCCCCAATGTCGAGGTTTTAGTGGGCTACGCCGACATCCACGGAGACTTGCTGCCCATAAACAACGACGATAATTACCACAAAGCCGTTTCGACGGCCAACCCACTGCTTAGGATATTTATACAAAAAAAGGGTAAGTCCCACTGTTCGCAGTCATTGTTTTAGAAATAGAAGTCGTTTGTTTTTCATCATCAGTAAGATACACAGACTTTGCCACCAACTTAATGACAGACATTTTGTGCGAATCTTATCACAGTAAGTAACAAGTGGGTTTAAGACATTTTTTATATTGTTGGTTGGATAATTACCTTTCCAGTTCACTAAGCGTACCCGGAAAATTTGTGTTTTCAATTGCTTTCATGATAGCCCTCTTAGATTTTTTTAAAAGTAGAAAAATAGAAGTTAGGAATTTATTGTGTCCATTCAGAAAGGCGTGGTGGAAAGAGGACGGCCTTGGAGTCGAGAGAAACTCCCTGGGGTCTGGTGGCAGCCACCTTTCAGGTGCCGCCTTCACCGCCTCACACGCACCCACCGGGACGCGGCCTGTCCTGCCCGGGTCTCAGCATCTCAGCGCCTCTTCCACAGAACAAACGCGGTATCTCACAGATTCGCCGGGCAGAGTGAAGGAGCTACGTGCAGTGCCCTGGCATGTGGTGGGCAGGTGTCCAGGGAATGTTTCCTTTCCGTTTTAAGGCATTCTTCATAGCATTATTTAATTATCTGGGAAAGTGGGTAGCAGTGCATTATTTTGGAGGAATGGAAACATTCACATTAGTCTTGCAAAGTGAACATTTGAAATGACCACTCCATGTGGCAAGCATTTTTTAATGGTTTTCGAGTCCTATTTTTTTTTTTTTTTTTTTTAACTTGAACGGGTGTGTCTGTCCTCCTGCAGGCGGGCGGGCGGGGCGTGGGCCGCTCACTCCCCTGCCTTTGGTAACGGAAGAGGTTGGTTCAGAAAGCCAGCGGGAGAGCAGCAGGCCCTGCATTGGTGGGGTGATTAAAGCCTCCCCGTGTTTGTAAACCAACCCGGGAAGCTGGGGAATGGGTAGGGATTACCCTTGAAGATGAAACTTTCTTTCCAGTCCATTGATAAGCACTGAACCACTCCCTGGGCTCTGAAATTCCACTGATTATGTATCTTAGCTTTTCTGCGTTTGGAGCAACTAAAGTCCACCCGCTCAGTAAACTGCCAGGGGTAATCTGTGCCTGTATCACTTGATTATTTACAAAATACTAACAAACTCAACAATGTTCCTTAAGATCGCCCCCTTCCAGATGAATTTTTCAGGGGTGTGGTATGATTAGAGGATTATGTCTGGAGATTAATCTGGCTGTTGGGGATGAATTGCAGTGAGCTGCAGACTATGGAAGAGGAATTGCCTTAGAAAGAAAATGGGTTTGGTTTTAGGGCAGAAAGGCGTCTCTGGCTGGTGAGTTTGGGCCATGGTAATGTGGGAAACCAGAACTGTTAGCCCATGGTAATGTGGGAAACCAGAACTGTTAGCGGAGACCGAGGAGAGACCCTCAGCACACCGTGAGCGGTGTGTCGGAGGGGAAGGAGCGGCAGTGGGGAGAGGAGGACAGAGCACAGGAGTGGAGTTTGTCACTTAGAGCAGAGTGACTTAAGTAACTGTTGAATAGCAGGCCTTTCTTGCTAGCAGTTGTCATTTTCATCAAAAACTTAATTGCTTTTTGGAACGTGTATTCACATGTAGAATGGCTCTTTTTAAGCGACTGCCACTGGACAGTTATCCCCTTCGTTAGAAAGATTATAAGAGTTGGGTTATACCACCACGTATTTTTGTTACTGGGATTGTAACACTTGATCACGGGATTAATCGTAACATCTTTTAAGGGCAGTTTTCTTCTGCTCTTTCCTTTTCAAATGTGTCTATGTCAACAAAACTTTTATGCCGTAGAGGTAAACATCCAATACTATTGGTAGTAATTAGAGTTTGGCTTAGAAATAGTCCATTCAACAGAATTTTTTTTTTTTTAATATAAATTTAAGCCCTGGCTGGTATGGCTCAGTGGATTGAGCGCAGGCCTGCGAACAAAGGGTCGCCGGTTCAGTTCCCAGTCAGGGACATGCCTGGGTTGTGGGCTAGGCCCCCAGTAGGGGGGTGGGGGGGTCACATGAGAGGCAACCACACATTGATGTTTCTCTCCCTCTCTTTCGTCCTGCCTTCCCCTCTCTCTAAAAATAAATAATTTAAAAAATAAAATATAAATTTAATACAAAATGTGAATTAAGCAAAAGATTAACATTAAGGTGGTCCACTCATTCCTGCTTAAAACCCTGTGCTGGCTTTTCCTTGCATCCGGAATGAACTCCTTCTGGAGGTGGCCTTCAAAGGCTCCTTGTCCCGCCCTTCAGGCTTGGTTGCCGTCTCTGCTTTTGCACTTGCCTTTTCTCCTGAGGAAGCTTTCCCTCCCGCCCTTCCCACCTTCAGCTCTTAGCTCGGAGAACCTGGGAGGTCCCTTCTGACCGCCCTGGCTCCAAGGACGCACCCCCCACCTTCAGCAGATTAGCTACCCTCTGAAGACCTGGAATTCACAGTTTCTTTGAAGAGCGGGAGACTGAATGCATAAGCTACTTAATATCCTGGACCTGAAGATAGCACTGAAAAGATTTATGTTTTATAGTAGTTTGTTAGAAGAAAACCCCCATGCTCTGTTCCTAGGGCTGTTATCATGGAAGCAAAAACAAAACAAAAAACCTGATATCTAAAAAGTGATTTTCACAGAGAGGGTTCCCAGGTCTTTTGCTAGCCCCCACCCGCACCGGAGTTTAGGGTGTCCTTACTTATTTGAGAGGGAGGAAGAGAAGGCACAGAGTAGAGTTTTCCCTCTCTCGTTTAGATTACTATTGTGCGGCCAACAGTATTAGAAAACAGTCCCAGGTTGTACCTGTAAGGAACACTCCGGTTGTTCCTGTACGTTTGGAAGACAGCCAGGGAAATGTGTATTTTTAAAAAGCTCCCGGGCCCGTCACGGTGAGCAGCCAAGTCCGGGGTCCGCTGACCTGCGCAGATCCCCCGCCAGAGCTGGTCGGACGTGTGCACCACGGCGGGACCCGCTCTTGAACGACGTTCGGCAGATGCATTTACATCTTGGGTTCAGTCAAAGGGGCTCGTCGGAGACACCAGCAGGGACTTGCCTCACACGTGGTCTCGCTCGGGACGGGCGTTGTGGTCCGCGCACACCTGTCCCTGGCCGGCTCCCGAGTGACCTCTGACAACGTCACCGGGAGAGGACCTCATTTTGTGGATGTGTCTTGGGGTTATATTATAGTGAATCAGGATTTAATTTGGAAACGGTCTCAGGGATATACGTTTTAACAGTGAGCTGTGAAAAACAGTTTAATGGAAGACACGGCCTCGGAGATTGAAAGTTGAATGGAGAGGAGTTGTGGAGTCACATCTCAGAAGGTGACGCAGGTCCTCAGGATAGAAACCGGGAGCTGCTTTGACACGTCCCTGTTGTTGGGTCACCAGGGCTGCTCGGATCGTTTTCAGGTGTATTTCCCTATCTCTGCTGGCTCTGCTCCAGGCCAGGTCCCACCCTAAATCTCCGCAGCAGCCTCCTGTCTTCCCTCGGTCCCTTCCTTCTCCGCCTTGCAGCCAGAGGGAGCTTTAGAGAAAAAACTGAAACCCTTGGAATTTTTCCTCATTGCTCTCAGGCTGAAGTCCATAATCCCTAGCACTTCCTGGGAGGCCCCACTTTGGGGGGGGGGGGGCCGGGAGCGGGCCTGGCCGCCTCCCACTTGGCTCAGGACTCCTCCCTCCCCCTCCCGCCTGCCCTTTAACCTCTCCACAGTCACAGGCCGCATAATGAGGTTTCTGTCAACAAACCCACCTGCATATATGGTGATCCCTATTAGCATAATGGAGCTGAAAAATTCCTGCCGCCCAGTGAGGTAGCTGCATGAGGTCGCAGTGCATTGCTTCCTCACGTGCTGGTGGTGCTGGTGCTGGTGCTGGTGTGAGCACGCTGGGCCGCCAGCCCTGGAAAGGCCCGGCACGTGCAGCCGTGTGCTTGCGCCCTGATTACGGGGATGGATGACTGTGTTCCCTCCCGGTTTGCGTGTGTGTTGGGCTGCGCTGTACTTTGCATCCTCATTTCATAGATTATTTCCTGTTCATTAAGAAGAAGTTTGCTGTGAACACTATGCCCTGTTAACGCCGGCAGTATCCTCATCCTGTGCCTCTTGATTGCTCTTTCCTCTGGCGCTCGATTTAATCTCGTGAAGTTTCGTGCAGTGGCCTGCTGTACGGGCAGCCGGGGAGCAGTCGGTCAGGCCGAGCAGCCCAGGTGGGCAGCAGGTCACACCACCTAGGCTCGCGCAGGTCACTCTGCGAGGCTCCCCCCACGAGGAAGTCACCTAAGGATGGGTGCGTTTCGTAGAGCGCATCCCTGCTGTTAAACTGTGCATGACTGCTCATTGGACCTTTGTCTACCCCTCCTGTTCTCCTCTTTATTCTCTGTCTTCCGTGCCTGCAGCACTCTTCCCGCCCTTCTACCTGATTCGCTGCCCTTCTGTCCAGTGTCAGCGTGGTGCTCGCTGACCCGGAGAAGCCTTGCCTTACTCCGAGACCCAGGCTAGGTGCCCATTTACACACTTGCACCACGCAGTGGAGGTCACGGCTCTTGGTGCCTTTGCGATGCTTCAGTCATTTGGAGTCGTTAGTTGCCATTTAGACTGTAAGCACCAGGGAAGCAGGCACCTTGTCTGTTTCGTTCATTGGAGCTGCAGCACAGAGCACAGTGCTTGGCCATGTACACGGTGCTTCTTAAACATTTGGTAGTGGATTTCTTCTTAGGAAGCAAACCTTGAATATTGCTTTATTTTTAGTTCTCACCCGAAGACATGTTTTCATTACTTTTAGTGAGAGAGAGAGAGAGAAGCATCAATGTGACAGAGAGACATCAATTGGTTGCCTTCTCATATGCGCCGTAACTAGGGATTGAACCGCAGCCTGGATATGTGCCCTGATGGGGAATCGAACCCACGACCTTTTGGTCTAAGGGATGATGCTCCAACCAGCTGAGCCGCACCAGCCAGGGCTGAATACTGCTTTAAGTGGTGTTTAATCCTTGTGAAATTCCCAGATCTATTTCATTTAGGATTAGAACATTTTGGATTAGAACAAGGGTTGGCAAACCAAGGGTTGGCAAACCAAGGCTTGCTGGCTGTTTTGTAAATAAAGTTTTCTTGGAACACGTCCATGTTCCTTCCTTAATGGACTGCCTGTGGCTGCTTTTGCAACAGAAACTGTGTGGCCTGCGATACCTAAAATATTTACTGTATAAACTCTTCAACCCCTGGATCAGGACAGTTTCAGAAACTGTTTTATTTTACCCTGCCTTCCTACTAAACTTCAGACGGGTCGTCATCTTGAACTTTCTTGATGGCCGTGCCATGAACTGTTCCGGTTTTGTTACTATGTGGGGATGCTGATGGGTTTGCGTAGAGCTTTTTTTACTTTCCCAGGCTTGCTTTTCGTCTGCTGTGGGCTTTTATTTCTTGTATCCATGTCCACCACTCACGGGTGGAGCCTTGCCCCTCACTCTGAACTTGTAACTTCGGCGTTTCTGTGGGCTGAGGAGTGAGAGCACCGGGCTTTCCAGAAGCAACGTTTAAAGAGGAAGGGGCGCACAAGGAGGGCCTGTAAGTCAAGCACAGGAGCTTCTCGTGTGGGAAGAAGTGAGACACCGGCTTTGGCAGGCCAGGGGCCTCGCAGGCGCGCCCTGGTCGGATCCCTCCGCGGAGAGTGTCGGCGGGGCGGCAGGCTCGAGATAAGTGGGGTGTTGCTGCCGCAGCCCGCAGCCTGCACTGTTGCATAAGCCTTGTTCGCGCAAGTGGTAGGTTGCTATGCACCGGGTTGCCAAACTTCCTGTCACGTGTTGAGCTCGGGACTCTGGTAGACATGCTCAGGTAGAAAGTGAACTCCTGTTCCATGTGGACATTCACCTTTACACTTTAAACTAGCACCCTGCACCCTGGCTTCCTGCCCAAATATTTTTTCCCAGTGCCTGGAAACTGATTAGCTAGGTGGGAGAACAAAGGTGTCTTTGTACGGGGGCATATTGCTTTTGAGACTTCAGCAGGGAGCATTCTAACAGAGACTGGGTGCGATGCCAAATTATGCAGATTTGGGTCTTTTTTGGTCAGGTTTCCCATGAATAGGTATGTGGGCAGCCTAATTTTGTTTTCAGTTTGTATGGTCTGGAGTGTTCCTTATATTTATTATGTGGGCTTTTTAGCTTGATTGTTTTATAATGAAAATACATAATTTTGAAAGAGAACATTTAGAAGATAATTGTTGTTAGAGTCTTGGCCAACTTTTGCTAAAAAGATTCTTGTGGCAATGGATTTATTTCCAAAGCCAAATTATAAATAAATTTCTGCCTCTGTAAGAACACAATGTAAATACTTTATCTACACATGAGACAAAATTACCCCCAGGAGGGACAAATGCAAAAAAAAAAAAACCAAACAAACCATCAAGTATCCCTAGTTTTGTACATTTCTCTGAAACTAACTTTTTAAAAAAGATTTCATTTATTTATTTTCAGACAGAGGGGAAGGGAGGGAGAAAGAGAGGGAGAGAAGCATCAGTGTGTGGTTGCCTCTCGTGTGCCCCCCACTGGGGACCTGGCCCACAACCCAGGCATGTGCCCTGACTGACTGGGAATCAAACCGGCGACCCTCCGGTTCACAGGCTGGCACTCGGTCCACGGAGCCACACCAGCCAGGGCTGACACTGACTTCTGAAGAAGCTTCAAGTAGCATGAGGAAAAGAACACCGCAGCTCCCCGTGCTCTGACACAGTCGGCACTGAGCACTCACTCTGCGAATGTGTTTGGTGTCGCGGCCTCGAAAGAAAGCCTGTCCAGCCTTTTCTCTGTCACTGACCCTGTCCCCTCCACGTCTGTGTTTATGAAGACGGTGGCAGTTACCAGGGAGGGGGGTGAGCGGCACGGGGAGAACGCGGGCCGGAGCCCCGGACGGTGGCAATGCTCCTCTCCCCGTGGCAGTGGCTGCACACCCGGACTTTGAACTGGTTCGGGGTCGTGGTGAGGGGGCTTGTCTTTCCTTCATTGTATCCTCTTTCTAGTCGTTTTTGAAATGAGATTTCACCTTTTGTGCCTGCTGTGAATTCCCTTTCCTTTTCCACCTCTCCTTCTCTGGTGAGGCAGATGGTCTCCCCTCAGCGGTGCGGTTTGGGGGTGTCTGGTGTTCGGTGCCCCGTGTTCCCTCAGTTTACGTCAGAGATTATAAACTGTTGGCTTGAAGAGTGAATTCAACCCCCAGAGGTTACTTAGTTCAGATAGGTTTTTTGTTGTTGTTTAACTGGTGTCACCCTTTAAAAAGGGGGAGATTTTTACCTAAAAAACGTGAGTCTGGCAAATTCCTCCAGTACAGGAAGAAAAACTGCCTGGAGTGAAGAGCAGCTGTGTCATTAAATGGGGCAAAATCTATTTTAAGTACCTTGTTGAAGAATGTTACCAGTGCTTCCCAGAATTTCATTTGCCTTACTTAATGTTGTTTAATTGTTATTGAGCTTGATCAAATATAGCTTGCACATCCAGTAATTTTATGACATGTGCTCAAGAGGGCCATCTAGTGGTTTTTTTCTGATACAGCATATCATTTGCACTACATTTTGATCTGCTTCAAATAAGCTAATATTTAACTAGTGTGTTTATGTACCGAATACATTTAAGTCATTCTCTCTGTGCAGATTCAACTGTAAACAAATGGGTGTGTTCACAGCACTTCTATAATTATTTTATTTTATTTTTAAACAGAAGAAGCAGACTACAGTGCCTTTGGTACAGACACATTAACAAAGAAGAAGAATGTTTTAACCAATGTATTGCGTCCCGACAACCACAGAAAAAAGCCGCATATAGTGATTAGCATGCCCCAAGACTTCAGGCCCGTGTCTTCTATCATAGACGTGGATATCCTCCCAGAAACGCATCGCAGGGTCCGCCTTTACAAGTACGGCACGGAGAAGCCGCTCGGGTTCTACATCCGGGACGGCTCCAGCGTCAGGGTCACCCCGCACGGCTTAGAGAAGGTCCCGGGGATCTTCATCTCCAGGCTGGTCCCGGGGGGTCTGGCCCAGAGCACGGGACTGCTGGCTGTCAACGACGAAGTGCTGGAAGTGAACGGCATAGAGGTTTCAGGGAAGAGTCTGGACCAGGTGACAGACATGATGATCGCCAACAGCCGCAACCTCATCATAACGGTGCGGCCGGCGAACCAGAGGAACAATGTGGTCAGGAACAGTCGGACCTCGGGCAGCTCCGGCCAGTCTACGGATAACAGCCTCCCCGGCTACCCACCGCAGGCCGAGCCGAGCTTCGAGCCGGAGGACGAAGACAGCGACGAAGACGACCTCGTCATCGAGGACGACGGGGCGCCGCAGCAGATCCCCAAAGCCGTTCCCAACGCGGAGAGCCTGGAGTCGCTGGCGCAGGTGGAGCTCAGTTTGGAGTCTGCGCAGAACGGCTTTGTGCCTTCGGGCGAAGTGAGCCTGGCGCCCGTGGCCAGCGGCACCAACACCGAGTTTGAGGCGCGCGTTCCAGATCGGAAGCTCTTGGAAGAGGACGGGACCATCATAACGCTATGAAAGCACCGACCGAATGTTTTCTGGTGAGGACGCCGTTGGGGCGTGTAGGTTTGGCTCGTGTGACGCATACATACCTCTGAACCAGTGACCCGGAGCAGGCCTGAGAAACAAGAAGATTGCAAGCTTCGAATGTTATTAAAATAGTAGGTTGATAATTGCTAATATAAACTTGGGAGGGTCAGAGGTGAATTTAAGTCTGAATCAAAGGGGCCTTTGCTGATGCAATTATGTGCTTTTGCTGTTCTGTCTGCGGAGAAGTGGATGTGTGGGCACATTCTCAGCGCGTGTGAGAGGACTCGGTCATTTCTGTGGGGAGTGGTTGCGTATTTAACCTGCTGTGCAGAGCCCGGTTAATTTTTCCTTTATATATATATATATTTTAATTCTAATGTGAAAAAAGGTCTGATTCTATCTTTTGGTACCTTGGGGACCTCAGCTCCTATGTTCTCTATATTGTATTTTGATATTTTAATGTTGTTCCTCTGTTGCGAATTGTAACAAGTAATTTTTTAAGTGCTTTTTTTCCCCCCAATTTCTAATCAAATCAAAACAGTCGATTGTTTTTAGGAGTTGCTTCCTATGTTATAAATCATCGAAACGGTGTTCCTGAATGAAGAAACTGGTAACCGTTGTTCGGGTCCACGCTTGTCCATCCTGTAGTGTAGCGCTCACACTCACAAACTCACTCCAGATGGGTGTAACTCTGAGTCGGGAACGGCGGTTCCATCGGCGCTGGGCGTGTGGGAGACTGTCCCTTGACCCCAGCCTCCTCTTGACCTCTTCTCCGCCGCATTCCCGGTCTCCCTGGAAACCATCCCTTCGGTGGTTTGTGTGTGTGTCGTTCATGTGCTTTCTGTACTCTTCAGTGTATACGAGTAGTGCGGATCGTTTTGAATTAAAAAAAAAAAATGCACCCGGAATGAAGAGATTTTTATACACAGGACAGACTCATGCACTTTTTATATGAACAGTTGGGGTTTTCCTTCATGGGATTTCTGGGGACACTGCCTACACTTTATGAAAATTATATAGTATTCCCCTTTGACAGGTAGAGTTTATCACTGTTAATTTTATGAGGGTATTTATTACTTTCCAATGCATCCACTTAGAACAAGTTAAGAGTAAGGCTGCTAACTTTGGTTCCTTGCCTGGTTCTGCTGTGTGGCGTGCGCAGACACCGCAGTATGCTTGTACATAGAAACTAAGAATAGCGTGGAGCGCGTAAGTCCCCTTGCGTGCTTACAGATAGGACTCTCAGTTATTTATTGATTAATTTTATGGTAGGGCTCGTATGGATACCTTATAACACTTGCGTGCTATTAAAACAATGAAGAATCCAAGGACTCCGTTTTGAAGGTTATTTTCTCTCTCTGGTCAAAATGTATGAAGAAGTAAAGTCACGATTCAATGAAGATCACGAGACTCAGAATACGTAGACGTATTTTGTTCACATTACCACTGAACACATTGTCACTGAACCACTAACTACTATTCAACAATGTGTACCGCAATGTACTTTTTCTTGAATTCACCCACGTTCTTCCACTACGTACCACTGCTGTTTTTGAGTGGCATTCTAGCTTTAGCATTCTGTTTTGTAAGTTCGACTCTTGAATGGCAAAGCAATGATAATAATGTGTAAGGTTAAATTCATGGATAAGCAGTGCCAGGGGGTCAGCATTTTAAGTAAAAACACTTTTCACACACTACCTCTCTCTCTCTCTCTCTCTTTTTTTTTTCCAACAAAGTTGTAACATCAGAACTTCTCTTGTGGGGGAAAACACTTCAGGGCTTAACTTTTTGTACACATTTTAACTGTAAAATACAGACTCATCCTGTGTGCGGTGTTCATGACAGTGGGGGGTCGAAAGCTGCTAGTATGTTTTGTTTTAATCGTCAGTGGTGTTTTCAACTAGATCTCATGTATTGGTACAATAATTGATTCCTAGACGTATTGTAAAACCAATGGATCTTGGTTATACAATAAAATGTCGTTTCATTGGTAGTCTGAACCAATTATTTCCAGTGTATCATCATTAACAAAAATACCAGTGGACTCAGCACAAAATTTTCTAGGACTGAATGTCAAGCTTAACTGTGAATTTTGTTCTGTACCTTTAAGTAAATTTATGATAATGTTCTCATGTGCTCTCAACAAAATGTATGTACTTTTTGTGAACTATGAATTTTCTAATTAAATTTTACATACGACAACATGATTTTTACATGGATGATACTTTGTTTAAACTATCAAATGTCAGTATTTTACTACAATTTTATTATAAAATGTACATTATCATTAACTGAACTTTGATTTTAAAAATCAAATTAGCTTTAGTTGTATATTATTTTTTACAAATAAAGATAGACTTGTATAAAGGCTACTTTCTCGTTTGCAAATATATGAGGAGTCACCCAATGATTGTTTACCGAGCACCCATCATAGAAGTTATAGCAAGGTCCTGACGCCCTTAACTTTCAATTTTTAAATGATAAACACCAAATTGTATGTGCATCCACTATGATTATGTATGCATGTGTAGACTGGAAGACAGCATTGAAAATGCAGTTAATCCTGATAAAGTGAAAAACTGTGCATGCTCATCCATCCAGAGTTATCATTTAGGTTACGATTCTTCTAAACAAGAAAAGAAGTGTTTGTAATGTGACAGTGTGTCTTCCAAAACTCAAATTCACTTAGTTTTACTTTTTGTTGCCACCCTGTATGGATTGAATTCATTTTATACTGAAAAATGCAAAAGGCCTGAGATGAAACAGACCATTTCTAATCCCAAATTGGTCCCCTGTCATTGGCTTAGTCGATCTCTGCACGGACCCCTCCGCTGACTGGTGTGAAGGACAGCAGTCCTGATCCCTTCCCCCAATTAAAAACGGATTGGAAGTCCTCTGAGTAAAAACTCAACCTCCTGTTTACAGACCTCTCCACGTCACGGACTGGTACCTGTTGTGCTGCATCTCACACTCGGTGTTCCTCTGGGTTTCAGGTGGTCCCTGGTGTTGTACTAAAACATTCATTTCTTTTTTTTAATCTTTTTTTTATTTTATTTTAATCATTGTTCAAATACAGTTTTGTCCTTTTTACTCCCAATCCAGCCCCCTCCCACCCTCCCCACTTCCCTCCCATTACCACCCTCCCCTTAGTTTTTGACCTTGTGTCCTTTAAGTTTGTTCCCGTGAACCCTTCCCAATGTCCCTAAAACATCCATTTCACCCTCAAGTGTGACCCTGAGGCTGCATCTTAAATCCCTGCTGCGTTCCAAGCTTCCAATCCGGGCAGAAGTAAAATTTGACTTTGAAGTCACAGAAATTTACGAGGAAAGGAAGGCCAGCCCCTCTGGTTGTGTACCCACCTTAAGGTGCTAGAATGCCTGGTTAGCAACAGGCGACTGTCGGCTCTGCCTTTCCTGTCTTTAGATGGGTGGGGAGGGATGGTTTAATTGTGGGTAGGGAACCTTGGCAGGTGAGTTCTCCTAAACAGGTTTGGGAGGGCCTGCCTTACGAGACGCTGAAAGTTTTGACTTTCGATAGCATGTCCCTTTGGTGGCTGTACTGGGTAAGCCCCAAGTTGTGCCTCCTAGCTGTAGCAAGGTCACGGATACCATGTGGCGTGGAGGTCTGGCTGCTGGGAGGTAAATAGAACGGAAATTAATCTGTTGGGTTTCCTCGTTTAAAATCCTCCTTACGTGGTAGTCTAGCAAGTCCTTCTCCCAAAACAAGACTTGGATAATATTTTTAAAGCTAGTATGTTTATCCCAGTTACTTTGCAACATTTAATGTGTATTTTGTCAATTAATACTAAAATTCGCTGGAGCTCATGTTTTCTTTACAAGCTGTGTTTAGGCGTTTTCTCATTTTAAATAACTCTTTTTGGGAAATGGTATTTATCCCAAAACCATTGCTCTCCACATCATACAAAACCACTGTTTTCTCGTCTATTACAATTACCTTCATTCTAATCCCAAGGGGCGACTAACAGAATTACTTAATACATTTAGTATTTAGTATTAGTAAAGAAAACTCAAAAAATTTTAATCATGCAAATATGTAAATTCATCCTTTTAAAAAAAGGCTAAAGTCCTTTTTTGACCACTAATGCATACTGTACTTTGTCATAAAAAGGAATTAAATTGGCTTGAACTAAGAGTGACTATAATTTAGCATCGAAGTGGGCGCACTTTTGAGAGAGTGGGCGGGGCCGGCCGGCAGGCAAGCGCCACCCCACTAAGCGGCCATGGGGACCGCCCTGCGGAAGAGGCTGCAGTGCAACGGCTTTCAAACGTTGTTTCTGAAACCGACCCTCAGTGAGAAACTCACTGACCCCTGCGACCTCGCACACAGGTACGTGTATGTGTGGGCACACACACACGTAGAACTGAAAGTTTCACAAGGCAAATATTACAGGGAAAATGCTCTGATGTCCTAGTCCATTTTAAAAAAATGTTTAAAAGGAAACATCCAAACCCTGTTCAGATGCACTATTCGAAGAGCACAGTTGAAGCACTTTGCTTTCCACTTCATAGATTTGCCATGGAAAAATACTAGTGTGTTTTTTTTTTCTCCTGAGGTGGGGAAAACTGTTGCTTGCTTGCTTTTTTTTAAATTTTATTTTGAAATAAACCTAGAAAAGAGCTTCATGAAAAGTACCGTTTGCACCCTTCACCCAGGTCATACCCCCGTTTGCTTTATCCAGTTTTCCCCTGAACCCCAACAGGCCAGCATATGCTTGCGTTTCCTAAGGACAAGGACATCCTCTTCATCCATTTTCTTATGGAACCACAGTTCTGCTGTCAAATTTAAAAAATTAATACATATAAACTATACTAGACTCTCACCCCTTGTCCCATGATGTCCTCTAGAGAAACGTTTCCCTTGATCCAGGATCCAGTCCAGAGTCACGTGTCACACTTGGGTGTCACATCTCTTGGGTCTCCTTTAATCTGGAATAATTCTTAATTGTTTCCTTTTTAAAATTTTTTTTAAGATTTTTAAAATTGATTTTAAGGGGCGAAGGGGGAAAGAGAGGGACAGAAACTTAGGTGCGTGAGAGAAACGTCGACTGGTTGCCTCTTGCACACCCCCAACTGGGGACCTGCCTGCAACCCAGGCATGTGCCCCGACTGGGAATTGAACCAGCGACCTTTTGGTTCATAGGTCGATGCTCAACCCACTGAGCCACACCAGCCAGGGCCTCAGTTTTTCTTCGTCTTTCATAATATTAACCTTTTTAAAATTTTTATTTATTTATTTATTTTTAGAGAGGGGAGGGAGGGAGAGAGAGAGAGAGAAACATCAATGTGCAGTTGCTGGGGGTCATGGTCTGCAACCCAGACATGTACCCTGACTGAGAATCGAACCTGCGACACTTTGGTTTGCAGCCCTCGCTCAACCCACTGAGCTATGCCAGCCAGGGCTAATATTGACATTTTTTAAAAGTAAAGACAAATTGTTTTGTAAGCTAAGCTGCCCATGAATTTGGGTTTGTTTCCTCATCATTAGATCCGAGTTATGTTTCAGGCCTGAACGGTATGTATACGATGTTATATCCTCATCATGACTTTATTTCTGTACGGTTGAATAAGGGAAATCATACAGTATTTGTCTTTTTCTTGCTTCACTTACCGTAATGTTCTCTGGGTCTATCCATGGGGTTGCAAATAGTAAGATTTCATTCTTTTTTTATGGCTGAATTATAGTCCGTTGTATATATGTACCGCATCTTTATCCATCATCTATCGATCGACACCTAGGTTGCTTGCAGATCTTGGCTGTCGTAAATAATGCTGCAATGAGCCTCAGGGTGCTTATATCTTTCACATTATTTTTATTTTCTTTGGATATATACCCAGGAGTGGAATTGCTAGGTCATATGGCAGTTCTATTTTTAATTTTTGGAGGAATTGCCATACTGCTTTCCACACTGGCTGCACTAATTTACAATCCCAACAGTGCACGGGGGTCCCCCTTTCTCCACATTCTCCACAACCCCTGTTTGTGACTTTTCGTTTATAGCCATTCTAATAGGTGAAGTGATTTCTCACTCTGGTTTTGATTTGCATCTCCCTGATGATTAGTGATCTTAAACATCTTTTCATATGTCTGTTGGCCGTCTGTGTGTTTTCTTTGGGAGCATGTCTGTTGAGGTCCTCTGTCCATTTTTTTTTAAGATTTTATTTATTTATTTTTAGAGAGGGAAGGGAGGGAGAGAGAGAGAGAGAAACATCAATGTGCGGTTGCTGGGGGCTGTGACCTACAACCCAGGCATGTGCCCTGACTGGGAATCGAACCTGCGATGCTTTGGTTCGCAGCCCGTGCTCAATCCACTGAGCTATGCCAGCCAGGGCTCTTTGTCCATTTTTTAATTGGATTCTTTGTTTTTTTGATGTTGAGTTTTATGAGTTATTTGTATATGTTATATATTAAACCCTGTTGCGTGTGTCATTTACAAATATTTTTCCCCATTCAGTTGCCTTTTTGTCTTGACAGTTTCCTCTGCTGCGCAAAAGCTTTTCAGTTTGATATAATCTCATTTGTTTATTCTTGCTTTTGTTGCCCTTGCCCAAGGAGCTAGAGCCAAAAAAAAAACATTGCTAAGACCAATGTCAAAAAGTGTACTGCCTATGTTTTCTTTCAGGAGTTTTATGATTTCAGGTCTCACACTTATGTCTTTAATTCATTTTGAGTTTCCTTTTGTACATGGTGTAAGCAAGTGGCCCTGTTTCATTTTTTGCGTGTGTCTGTCCAGTTTTTCCAACACCATTTATTGAATGTCTTTTCCTCCTTGTATAGTCTTACCCTAGATTAATTAACCATATAGGCCTGGGTGAACCATCCTGATTTTTAAAGGTTTCATTTATTTATTTTTAAAGATTGCATTCATTTATTTCTAGAGAAAGGAGAAGGGAGGGAGAAAAAAAAGGGAGAGAAACATCAATGTGTGGTTGCCTCTCACATGCCCCCTACTGGGGACCTGGCCACAACCCAGGCATGTGCCCTAACTGGGAATTGAACTGGTGACCCTTTGGTTCACAGTCTGGTGCTCAGTCCACTGAGCCACACCAGCCAGGGCCCATCCTGATTTTAAAAACAACTCATGAGACAGACCAAACAGACCCGCTGGCCGCAGCTGGCCTGCAGGCTGCCAGTTTGCCACCCGAGGTCTCAGAAGCGTGGGGACCACAGACTGTCAGTGGCTT